AGAATTTGCCCGACCGTGAATGGGCCTGAAATTTCTGAGTTTATGATTTTCGCCTAGGTGATGCTTCCCAAAGGGAATATGAACATCGGTTCGAAAAGGTCTCCTGAAGGGCGAACTCGTGAAGGGCTTCAGAGACGAGATGTTTTCTCTACAATACGGTCAGAGGCTATAAAGCTTTTCAAGAGAGGCGCCACCAACGTGCAGCCACCGGAAGGAGGGGGATATGGTGGATCCGAGTTGATATAAATATGAATGGATCCGAAATCGTAAGGCAATAATTTTGGGAGCTGGATTCTTGCCCTGACGCCACGGGATTGACCTCTTTCGGAACGCAAGGCGGAAGATGCCTTCTATAGACGTGCTGCAAATCGGACCGTCACTGTGTGGCCAATGTACAACATTCGATCGTAAAAGTAATTAAATCAGTCGACTTAAACGATCGACCAAACCCCCCCCCGGCAGCATCCTAAAAACGGTTGCTGCAACGGCATGTCAGCTGTTCAGTGCTGGAATTTCTTAGCTTTAGATTACCTGCAAGTACGCAAGTGGATATTGATTTGGTCCTGCTTATGAGTTAGCTAATTCTTCGTCAATAAATTCGCGTTCAGAAGTGCCACGCGATAGAGGCCCACGTTTGTTACCGTAGAGCCATTATTAGAACCGCAATTGGATTGCGTGATAGAGGGCTAACCAATGTTTCAGTGGTGATTACGCTGCTGCAGGCTGGTCTGACGACGCGTTTAAACTGGCACTGTCAACAGAAAGATGCTGCGCAGCCGGAGGCCAGTATAGTTGGTGGATTTCAATTTTGCAGGAGTGCAAACTGAAGGATTAGTGAATGCACACCCCACGACTACACACTGCAGATACCTGGGTTCAAAATGGGACTGTAGTAGATGGTGACCTGCTGTTTAAGAGATTAAGGTAGGACTACTCAGACCAATCGCTCGGGATGCGCCATGCATTTCTCGGCATTCCACATTCGGCCGAATTGGTACAGGCGATTTAAACTGCCAGCTCGCCCATACCGATATAATTTCTGAAGTCGCGGGGTCCGAGATAGACGGAGTCAGTGTTTTTAAACCCTCTCCAGACGAATCTTCGGGTCCGCGAGGAGCAGCGACCCCGGAACGAGGTGAAAGGCCAAGGTTGGCCTGGATGTTGTACGTTCTGGTTTCATCCCGATCGTGCGTGGATCCTGAGCGGCGCCACTTGCCGCTACGAGGTCATTTCTCAAAGCGCCAGTGTCAAAGGATATTCCGAAAGGAGACAAACAAAAATTGGTCTGACTGGCTTTTAAATGTAGCTGCATTTAAGCGAGGGTGTGTCGGAACACGTGGCAAAGAAATACTGGGCGCCAGGATGAGGGAGCAGAGGTCGAAGATGAGAAAGAGTATAGAGACGAGCGAGACGCAGACATTGACGCGTGTTGCAAGCCGGAATCATTTGAACAACATAAGCGTCAAACGTCCTTGTGACGTCGCCACCATGAGCACGCATAGTCGTAACGAAGCCACATTTATGGTACTCAGGTTCAGCTTCTATTCTTTATGAGAGAGGGTTCTTGCTCCCAGGCCTGCACCTATTTGTTGTATGGGATATTTCAGGATTATGCATAGAGAGCTTGACTACTAAGCTACCACGTATGCTTTTTTCGACTCTTCGGTTGTCTCAGAAAAACCCATGTTTACAGTTTCACTTTCTGCCAGCTACTTGCCGCGCAGAAATTCGCAAAGTATACACATAACTTCGAATCGGTAAACATTTATTAGTCAGGTAAAAAGAGGTGGCAGGTGTCTCCACAAGTCACGCGCCACCACGAGCGTGTTGCTGATCGAACAGTAGGCCGAATGGCAATCACAAGCACGAATTCCTTGCAAACATCAATCGCTCAGCGTCGGCAGTGCGACAGCTGCTCGTAAGCGAAAACCCGATGGTCAACATTTTGATAGCGCCCAGGCTCGACAGTAAGGATTTTGGGATAGGCACCGGTCCTCTAAGAAGTGAATGAAAGGTTAGGATTCTGCGTCTTCAGTAGAGCTTTCGGTTCTTGGAAGATTTTCAGCATTACATTATTCAGCCCGACGTTCACCATGGCTGATAACTTTGTGGGAGAAGGTACGAAAAGGGAGGCGCAGGCGCGATAGTATGAAAACATTGCAAGAGTTCTCTAGGCACCACCCGAAAGATTCCGGCGACAGAAAAGTGCAATATGGCCCTGGAACTTTTTGCATACAAATGTCTTCGAGAGGCGCTTAAAAGTGCACTGAAATTGAATTTTTGACAAGATGATGGCTATTCTCCCTCAAGGAGCGAGTAATAATAGCTCCAATTGAGGGAGGAAGAGGGAAGGAGTGAGGAAGTGTTCGAGAGGAGCCCGTACCAGAGCGCTCTGCAGAAATTTAGGCAACGCTTCAAAGGCAACCGCAGGGTACCAGGAGGTTCTCAAGCTCCACACAAAGACATCCGAAAGGAACGCTTGAAAGTGCAATGGGATTGAATGCTGCTTGAAAACATGATTACCGGGGATTTTCTAAGATGGCGAGCAAGAAGATAAGGGCAACTCGGTGGGTGTTGTGCAAAATTATACACGTGTGTGGAGCTTGTTTACCGAAATCGGCAGAGTAAGACATCGGCCGAGCACGTCTTAGAACTGAACCGTCTGTGGACTGCCCGGAAATCGAAATGGGAGATCGAGAAGCAGCTGCGTCATAGGGGATCATAGTTTAATTCGTTCGAAGGAGCGCCGTGAAGACGAGTAGCGTGAACCAATGCCGAAGAGGCCTCATCTAGGTCCTGTATTGTGCTTTTGAGAGTATAATGTGAGGCGCCGGGGGTAAGGGGAGGTTTTCACAGAACTGACCGTGGGTTTTCCTTCTTTGATTTCTTTCCTAGATGGGAAAAAACAGCTGGGGGGAGGGTCTATTAAGGTTGATGCAGCGTTGCTGAAGTAGGTCTTCAAAAGTGAATCGGCGCCTGGCCTCAGAATCCACGAAACCTTCACTCAGAACCTCAGTTTACGAAGGATTCCATACGCGCCCAGATCAAGCTCTAGCGGCTGGGCGGCGCGGAATCTTGCCTATTTTTGACAAAACGCATTTTTTGTCGCAGCAGACATTTCTATGAGCTACATGGAATGCTGGTGGTCAACGTTCGTGCGGCCATATAAATGTCTCCATGATCTCCCTATCTGGGTCAAGCGCCGTATCCTATCTTGATGAGCTATTCATTCATTAACCTTCTGACGTTCAGGGGCTGTCAGACAAGCTTTTCGCCGGTAATTCCGAAAAAAAAGCGGTCTTTACGTTATGGCAGGACGTCCTGATTTCTCCGACCTCCGGCTCGAAGTTGGTAATATCAGAGAGTCTTAATCGGCTGCAAGGTAGTCGAAAATGTTTAGCAAAGTCATGTTTGCTAGTTTGGACAGCGGCGCCCATAAATTTGCACTTTGTCAGCGATCTCTGAGATGAGGTGAAGTCTAATCGAAAATTTGCATGGAAGCTCTTAAGCTGGCTTAACTAGGATCATAGTGAAAAGCCCATTTAGCTGTCTTAGAAAACAGGGTTAGACGGCCGCACAAGGCTATTGCGTCGGCTTCTTGATCTACTAACTCCGCGAGGTGCAGTGAATTATGTTGACGCAGGGTACTACACACACTGAGAGAGTGATCTACAAAAGCTGGCTGGGCCCCATATTTCATCGCATGGAGCAAAAGCGCATTTTCATGCTTAAGTAAGTTTGAATGGAAGTTGAATGCATGGCTCATCTCGCAAAATGTTTGTCCAGCAAATAGGGCTTAAACTGTTCTTTAATTAAAGCATGAAAAAGGATAAAGCATTTGCCGTTGATCAATCCCTTTTTGGGATTGTCGTTCCGGCCTTCTTTACTCCACTTGTACATTCGGGTAGTAACGGTTGAATGCTATCCACCTATACAAAGACTTGCTGGGGCCAGCCGATGTACAAATTAGTGTTTTTTGTACTCGCACACAGGTCTGGCACAGATTAACCGACCCTGGGGGATGGATGTCTTGTTGGCCCGGAAGACGCACGACCCAGGATTCGATATGCGGACCGCGCGCTTAGTAAGCGTGCCACTTACCACTACATCACTGCCGCCCTATAGTAAAATATGGTAATGGAAAAATAATGGGAATCTGTGAAGTGTTCAAAACAGTGGTAAAGCTCAAAGGTGAAACCCGTAAGCTCTAAAAATGTGAATGTTCACGCAAGAACAAAAATGCATTTCTTTGCTACAACGATTCTAAATGGTGATAGTATGCATGGCTTATTCCGAAAATGCTGTGCCCTTACTGGAAATATAACTGTGGGAAAAATATATGTATCATACATTATATAGAACTATAAAGAATCGAATCCAATATCGATACACCAATTTGGTGGATTACCAAAGGAAGACTGTACTAAGGACGTGCAACAAGGATTTATTACTACGTTTAGCACAAGTATCGACCACAATAATACATTCACGGGGTTTATATACACAATATGTGGGCGGTCCTCAGATATCGTACCGTCGCTGGACCGTAGGGGGCCAGCGGTGGTACTCAAGTTTGGGGAATGAAAGAGCGGACCGCGCCAACGGCAGAACCTACTTGATTGCACACTTATGATACCGCCGGGTCATGCCTGCGGTATCATCTCAAGAGATACTCATATCAAGTTATGCCTATGGTTAATAAGTTGAACTAGCATGTTATCAATCATTTCTATGAATCCTAGTTCTATTAGGAGTTATAGGTTGTGTATCCACAACACTGGGGCGGGGCGAAATGAAGCGGTAGCTACATGTAATGCAGTCAACCATAATTTTAACTAATATTTATTGTGCTAGAGCGCACTTACAATATTAGGTGTTCATGTATATCAGTAACATGGTTACAGCAAAATCAATTACAATTCATATGATCAATTGCGGATTTCAACAAAAATGTACATATAAGAATAAGAATAAAATACAAAACTTCAAGTACAGTTAACTCAATGGATACAGTGACACTTCTTACATATGCCTTTCATAGTATAGACGTTGTCGACGTGGCTTGCTTCCATGCGCAGCTTGCTTCGGCATTCGGAAGCCTGATGTCCAGCCACATAGCATACCTCACAGTAGCGTGTGGGTGCTACGGCCGGACACTGAGCGACGACTGGAAGTGTCGTCATTTTCTGGGTGTCTTGCTGCAGGAGGCGCTCAATTGCAGAAGTTCTTTCATCGATTCGTCGAAGCCTGTCTTCGATGCGATCTTGCTTCTGCAAGATTGTCTGGACCGAATCCATCATAGCATAGAAAATATCGCGGGCGTTTCTGTTCGAAAGCACATCCTTGTCATCATGCGATACCAGGAGAGGGCGCAGAGTGATTTTTGGTTTCACAACTGCTCTCTTCTGAGGTGGGGCGCAGGATGGCTTCGAACTACGCTTCAGACGTAGTTTTTTAATCGGACGATTCTGAATAGTTGCTAGCACTGCTTCAGCACCGGAAATGTCCAGGTCGAGGAGGTCTTCTTGCTGTTCTTCAGAGCGCATAAGTGATGTAGAGGCGGACATGGAGTTGAAACTGCTGGTTGAAGGGAGGCAGGTTTTTATAGGTGGTTGCAGTGCTTGTGGCAGAACTGCGTCCCAGTAATGCATCAATTGAGTGTGTCATTGATAACAAATCCTGGATCTGTTGTTCGTTGCGGCTAATTGCGGATTGATAAGATGTTGTATGTACATGACTAATTGGCCTTGGATGTGACCTGCGCCGGTCAGCATACTGTTCGTGCTATTAATTTCGGAACAGTTAGGATTGCCACAGCCACGATTATTGCGACTGCTACGAAAGCCATCACTGCTGATTTCCAGTGATCCATGGCGACATCCAGTAAATGTCCCAAATCAGGATAATTGAACATGTTGACGTAGTTGGAATGCTCGATGGTGCTTTTTTCTGATGGAGATCTCCAGTGCGCGTGAAACGCTAATACTCCTGATATGACGACGTTGTGTGTTTGTTGTCCGCACTTCACTTGACAGTTATCTTCGTATCTAGATACTGTTGAGTGAATATTCGCCGTTGTTCGAGCCGTGGATGAATTACATGTTGCCGAAAAAACTTTCTCTTGGCATACTATTTCGATCATGATTGGGCGACTTGAGTAACATGAAAATGTTATTTCAGCTCCTCGTAGACAATTGTAACATCCTTGAAGTGGCGTTGATGTTAGGTCACAGTTCTCGTCGTCAATTATGGAATCAGTATGGTAGATCGCTGATGTGCTTATCGTGAGATCGACCGACAGCACTGTGTACGGCTCCGAAGGACTCTTCCATGATTGTCCTGAAGATGCAGGACTGAAGAAGATAGTGGAAGCCGACTCTCTGTTGAAGTCATCTTCGTGTTGACGTCAAGATTTCTGCAATCGCATTTCGCTTCCGTTTCTGATGGTGAGCATGAGCATCTGTCTTCAACGTAACATTCCGATATGTTAGAGGCTTTTCTCAATGTCGGACATCGTAGACCAAAGAATTCCTCTTCTTCAATTATAGCTACTTCTGCTTGCTTGGAGTCGACCGCTCCCATGAATATGGTGCCTAGTAAAGGAATTACTGGCATTGTTATGAATTCCAGAGTGATATTGGCGTTCTTCATAACATGCGTTGTTTGGGTGTCGATTGTAATCAATTCGGATATTTTCGCTCCTTGGATTCCAGTATAGGTGAACGTTATCAAGGCCGATTCCTGCCACGTTGGGCAATGAAACACTTGATAAACCTTATCATTCTTCGGCTTTGCGTAGGAGCGAGAAAATAGGCATCCTGGCATGGGGAGAAGGCAACCGCATCCGATCCCTCCACAAGATGTAGTGCAACGTGCGATTCCTGGGAACTCGTAGGTGTCACGTAGTTCTGGAATCTCCGATCTGCTGCTAATGTGTGTGCATTTTTGTGACACGCAGGAACCAGCTAGATGGCATCGTTTTACAGATTCTGTGACGATGTCGACGTCTCTAGTGTAGAAAAGCATGACTGGGTTGCAGGTCAGGAATACATGATGCAGCTGTACTTCCATGCTACCTATTGTTTGGTTCCCGTTCCGAAGGCGAAAGCAAGCTTGAGGTCTCTTTTGGCTCAGGTGTAATGGTAGCTTCCTGTACATCACGACAGTCGGTTTTGTACGATGAGCGAGAGCAAACTGTGTTGTTTGCGTTCAGAGTATGTGTGTACTGACACGTTTCTCCGATAGCGATTAGATGTACCATCACGATACTGAAAATGATCATTTTAGAACTTGCAGGAAGCGTAGACAGTCGGGTCATCGTGAAGCTCTCCTTTGGCTGTTGCGTTGGTATCCTAGCCTGCAGAGATATCCTACCACGTCGTTTCCAACTTCGTTTGAAGAAGATATTGCAACCAGCTATGTAGCATGTCAGCAATATTGAGACGAGAACGACTGCTATGCACACTGATATGATCCCTGTCACCATACGAGGAGCGCAGTGAGGGTTCCCAAAAAATTCTGTGCATATGATGCAGTTGATTTCTTTGGCAGACGTCGCCCGGTGGACAGACTATCGTTTCTGTATATTGCCTGGAATCGACGATGGTCCGCCACTGAATAGTATGTTGGCTGACGAGATGCTCGAATGGGAAGGCGACTTCCGTTATGTTTGCGTCTGCTGGGATGACGGTGCATTCTTTGTAATTTATGCAGAGTTCCGCCTTTGCAGATAGCGTTGTGTTAATTTTTGCTCCTTTGTTAGAGCAGGATATTGCAGCCGCAGAAGCTGAATTGAGTAATGCAAGTGAACACATGGCGATCATCAGGAGCGTAGATGAGCTCGACTTGCTGCTCTTGGGTTCGTTTCTTGATCCGTTGTAAGAAACCTGATTTTTTGAGGCTCTTGGCGGTTGTTGTCTGGTGACCACGCCAGCTTCCTTTGCTGTTCTGGATGACGTCTTTTTCCGAGTTCTTTTTGCGATTGTTGAAGATTCATCAGTTTGATCATCTGAAGAACGAGTCGAAGAGTGTATTTCCAGAGGAATGAGACGATTGATCGGCCTGTGCACAATTCTTCCTGTTGAAGTTTGTAGCATAGCGCTCCGAATTTCCCCGTCTCTGCTCGTGATAAGATCAGTAATCAAGGCCATTGGCCATTGTCCTCTTGACAGTTGCGAATCGTCGTCGAGGAGTACAACGTCTCCTATGCGTGGTTGCTGATCTAGGTGATCTTGGTCTTCTTTCCAATGACTTTGTGACGATCCTCTTAATTCCTATGAGGTATTCGTTCTTCCATATGCTCCAAAACTTCTTCGTTAGCTTTTCTGTCGCTGATATTGCTAGTTTTGCAGCCTTTTGAGATGGAAGTTCCGGGAGAACTTGGAAATCTGGATCTCCGTCGTGGTCTTCCGACGTGAGCTGGGTTGTTCCGTGCCGCACATCTTTATAAATGAAGTCAATCGGGCGTAAGGCTTCACATGGTGTGTCCTGGTCTCCGATTGTGGTAAGCGGTCGCGAGTTGACAACACTTTCAACCTCACAAAGTGTAGTGTGTAACAACTCATCTGTTAGCTTCCGTCGACCTACTGTTTTTTGGAGAGATCGTTTGACAGTGCCGACCATCCTTTCCCATACTCCACCCATCCATGGCGAAGAAGGAGGAATGAAGTTCCATGTTATTCGATGCTGTGCGAGAAACAGAGATAAATGAGAGTCCTCATCATTGTTGTGGTTCTGGGACAAAATATTTTCAGTCAGCCGGAAGTTGGTGCCGTTATCACTGAGTATTTTGACTGGTACTCCCCGTCGGGCTATAAATCTTTTGAGCGTAAAGATGAAGCTTTTTGCTGAGAGATCCGTTGCCACTTCGAGATGGACTAGCCGTGTGACTAGGCATGTAAATAGAGCAACATATCGTTTGGAATCTTCTCCGGACGTAGATTTGACCGTGATTGGTCCCATAAAATCTACTCCTGTGTGTGCAAATGGAGGTGATTGTGTGACGCGTTCAGTAGGTAGAGGACCCATATCTGGGTACCTGAACGGTGCCGTATTGAATCTTCTGCACGTGACGCAATGCTTCAGCGTTCTTTTGCACAGCAGTCTGTCTTGCGGAATCCAGAATCGTTGCCTAATGTTGAAGAGCAACTGATTTGTTCCACAGTGGGATAGGCTTCTATGTAAATGTTCCGCAAATAGTTGTCCCAGCTTGCTTTGCTTGGGAATATGTACAGGATTAGCCGCCGAAAAACTGAGTTCCGCATTTTCAAGCCTTCCAAATTTCCTGTATATACCGTCCTTGTCGGCTTTAACGTTGATTTGCTTGTTTTGAGTTAACAGTGCGGAGCCATATACTGCTTGCTCTTGTCGAATGATGAGCTTTTCGGCCTGGACGACTTCTTCCACAGATATTGCATTTGTTTGTAATCCAGTTGTGCTGAGAGGCAAGCATTTCCCCTTCGTTATCTTACGAATGAAACGGGCCGAATAGGCAACAATTCGTATCAGCTTGAGGTAGTTGCTGATGTTTTCCGTTGGCCATATCACTGTCGTTGTAACGGTGTTGGCCGCGCAAGAGTGTATTTCTTCGCTATCGGGGTTTTGCTCATACAGTTCATCCGCGTTCTTCACAGGCCATTTCTTCGCTGGCATGTTGAGCCAAATTGGACCACACCACCACCGATGGTTGACGAAATTGTCTTTGATTACGCCTCGGGTGGCGCAGTCTGCTATATTCTCCTGCGTTGGCACATGAAAGAAAGAAACGCTGCTGGATTCTTGAAGTCTCTTCCAGATCAGGCTTATTTTCTGGACAAGTGTTGTTACTATTGATGGCAGGCGCCTAGTCCCTTGTATCCAGCACAGAGCTATTGTTGAGTCGCTGAAGATATTAATCTGTTTGAATTCCATGTTGGTCTTCTGGATAGTTGATTCGGCAAGACTTAGTCCGATGAATATAGAAAGAAGTTCGAGGCGAGGTATAGTCTGCTCCTTTTTTATGGGAGCGATTTTCGATTTTGCCGTGAAAAGTCGTGACTCCGACGTTCCTTTGTTGGTAGTCGACGTTACGTAGATGCAGCAGGCATACGCACGTTTAGAGCTATCTACGAAGACTGACATCGTGTTGTTTGGTGACTTTTCCGCGACCTTTCGTGGTAAGGTAATTTCGAATCCACTGATGTAGGATTTTATCTGCTCCCACGACTTTTGATCTTGGCTGGACAGTGGGGTGTCCCAACCATATTTCTGCTTGTGAAGATCTTGAAGGAAGATTTTAGCTGGAGTCATGAGTGGCGATAGCAGGCCGAGTGGATCATAACAGAAGCCATTTATTTGGCTGAGAACCGTTCGCTTTGAAATCTTATCGAAGCGTTTCTCGCAACATTTGAGTGATATCGTATCCTCCACAGAATTCCATAGTATTCCGAGAACTTTGACTTCGGTGGTGGCTGTTCTGTCAGCTTCTGGTATCCTCTTATTGACGTTTGGAGAGTTGGAGAGGTAATCACGAAGATTCATTCCCACCGACGAAAATAGTTTCTTGGACTCGGCGTATTTGTGAAGTAGGTCTTCTGCACTTGTCCCTTCTAGAAGAACATTGTCGACATAAAGTGACCTAGATAGTTCTTGAGCTATGTCCGACTCTGACCCTTCGATGTGCTTCAGAATAGATTGGTTCAAGATGGCTGGACTTGCGTTGATGCCAAATGGTACTCTGCAGAAGCGAAGGTACTTGATGTTGTCACCGGATGCTGGGCGAAGAAGATCTTTCACCCACAAGAACCTTGTGACGTCTCTATGATCTTCAGGCAGTTTTATTTGTAAAAAGGCCTTCTGTATATCTGCTACCATTGTGTACTGGTGCGTTCGAAATTGCAGGACTACCTCATGGATGAGAGGTGTCAGAGAATGTCCTTCGTAGATCACGTCATTTAGACAAAGTTCGTTTTTCGCGTGAGAGGACGCGTCGAATACCACTCTAAGCTTGGTAGATTTCGATGGTGTCCACACATGTCGGTGGGGTAGATAGAAGGTGGCGATTCTGCTCGACTGGTTGTTAGCTTCTTCAATTATTCCTTCCTGGAGATAGCTCGCGAAGGTTTCGTTGTAGAGCTTGAGTTTTTCTTCGTCTCCGTGGAGTGTCCGTAGAAGATTTTGTAATCTTCTCAGTGCAACATTGAAGTTGTCCTTCAAATTTCTCACCTCATCAGTGAAGGGAAATCCAGCAGTGATGTTGCCGTTTTCTATGACAATGGTCTTCCGGTAGTTGTCCATGAACTTTATGACTGCCGCCTCGTCCGTATCGTTCTGGGTGTTGATACCGAGCGATTCCAACTCATAAAGGTGCTTTATATCCTTTTTGTAGTTGTCGTTTGATAGCGTCACAGGTGTAGCTACAATGAGCGAACTACACTGTGTGTCACCGTTTTCATTCATAGGACCAAATGTACCGCTAGCACCAGAAATGGTATAGCCAAAGACTGTTGGTGTGAGAACTAATCCTGATGGTAGCTTCATTACCGGATTGTAGTGTTCAATCACTTGGTTCAGAAGGTCCTGTCCAATGAGTAGATCAGGGGAAACTTCTGACGGACGGAGACTTTGCTGGGCGACCATGATTTTCTCCCTTTTGATGAAGCTTTTGTCGGCTTCCGATAGTAGAGCAGTTTTGGTGGTCGACGTCAGCTTCTCTTTGGTGAAAACCGACAGACGTTGCAGTTTTCTAAAGCTGTGTAACCCTTTTAAGGTCACTTTCACTTCATGTGAATTGAACGTTTCTTGAAGCTCTCCCATCCCTGTCGTGGTGAATGATATGGAGCTCATTGTTGGCAGCTTTAATTTATCTCTTGTCTCTGTTTTTATGAAGCTTCTTTGAGCTCCTGAATCGAGGAGAATAGTAATTGGTTGATATTCCTCGTTGGCTTCATTGAAGATCAACGCGGATGCCATTTGCAGCACACATTGTCCGGATACCGGTCGTTCGGACTCTGTAGTGACGTTTCCAACAGGAGCAGCGTGCAATGTTTGCACCCTATTTGTTTCTCTCGGTTGATTGTTATTTCTTTGTGTTGGCTGTCTAAAGCGGTTGGCTTGTGATGGAAACGGAACCCTTGCAGCTCCTTGCTGAGTGGAGTTTGGCGGTGGGTTTTGCCTTCGATTGTACGAGCTCGTAGATTCCAAACCACTTCTCGATGTTATGCATAGTGAAGCATGATGATCCTCTTTGCATTTTGGACATGGTCCCATTGCTGTGCATGATCTCGACCCATGAGTTTTATCGAAACATTTCCAGCACATTCTCTGGCGCTTGGCTTCCATTCGGCGAGCCTCAGGTGTAGGGAACCTGGCGCACTGATGTGGTGAGTGCGCTTCTCCACACAGACATGCATGCCTCATTCGATGACTAGGGGACTGCTTGCTTTGGTGGCGTCCGTTATTATGTCCTCTGGCGTTGTTCTGCATGGCTTGCGTGGTTTGAGTACCGAACAAGCGTCTTTGTTGTTAGCTCGGTAGTTTCTTGAAGAGTTATAATTTCATCAACGGCGTCAAGAATATTCTTCACTTCGAATCCTGTGCCACCTTCGTTTTCTTTCTTGATTACTTGGCTACAGATATTCTCTGTGAATTTTGAGAGAATAAGGCGTCGCCATACTCTGTCTGCGTTCATTGGCATTCCAGTTTGCTCCAGGTGCACGATTCGAGAAGATATGGCATTGAGTGTATCGCGGCAACTTCTCGAGTTTTCTTGTGCCCTAGGCAGATGCTCAATCTCGTTTATTAAGATGTCCGCTATGCCTGATGATCTATCGAACTGTTTCTTAAGTATATTCAGAGCGACGCTGTATTTGTCACCAATGACTGGAATGCTGTTGATTGAAGCAGCTGCCTTTCCTTTTAGTGCTTGTTTCAGAAAAAGGAATTTTTCTTGGTCACTCAAGTCCGTATCTTTGTGTATGAGGGACTCGAAGACTGACCAGAAGGTATTGAACTCCCTGAAGTCTCCAGAAAAGGTTGGGACTTCGAGCAGAGGGCGTCGAACTCGTATGTTGCGGTCGTATGGATTGACAGTGTCACCTCCGCTGTGAGAATTGTTCTGACTGCTACCAGCCTGGTTGGCAATGCTAATGGCTTCCGCTATGAATGAAGCTTGCTGCATCAACTCTTCCTTTCTGAAGTCGATCTTGCTCAGCCATTGTATTATTGTGATTTCCAGACCATTTGATTCGAGCTCCATGTGGTTGTTAAGCTCGAGCATCAGCTTTTCTCGATCCTTCTGCTCCGATCGTGAACTAATTGTTTCGATCGCTTTGTCAAGACAGGTATCGTGGAGCTGCTTCGCCTTAGTGATCGTTGTTATCAAGTGGTTTAGCTGTGCTGTCTTTTCTCTTATATACACCTCGCATACCTCCTTTTGAGTTGGGAATATGAACGGGTTGTCTAAAAGCTTGAGATCTGACTCGCTTGAACGGATCAGCTTGCATGCATTCGTGATTCTGGTCTTAAACAATTGAATCTCAGCCATTTTTAGTGCTGAGGGTTGTTTGAGATCGGTGGTGTTGTTTATGCTTAGATTTGAGCACAAGTTGTTCGAAACCAGTGAGCGTCTAAACTGTTTGAAGCTTGAGCTCAGTTCGATATTTCTTTTGAAACACCTTGGTTTCGTGTAGGATGAATTTCCTGCCACGCGGGTCTTTTTGAGTTCCTCAGGG